GGGGGGGGGGGGGGGGTCCGCCCTCCCGGCGCATGCGCCAAAACCCTGTGGCCGGGGGGGGGGGGCCTCCTCGAGGGGAGCCGCTTTCAAGGGCTGGGGGGTTCCCTGCGGAGATTAGGAAAGCTTTGTTTAAGGGCGGGTGGGCATCCGTGGGTCCTCCCCCCGCTCTTCTTCTGTGATTCCCCCTATTTTGAGGCAGGGAATGTGTGGAAGCTGGAGACGAAGCCTCCCAGTTTCCTGGATGCAGAGTAAACAAACTAAGCCCCCACCAAAAAAGCAGGGAGGAGGAAACATTCTCACCAGCTTGCATCACTCACTGTGAACCCCTCCCCTGATGGCCCCTAAGATGTAAAATGTGTCCTTAAGGCCTGTTGATTGCCCACCCTTATGGTTTAAAAGGATAAGCTGCTTTTCCCAACCTGGTGCTCTTGGGATGTGACTTGACCACCCTCGTCCTTCCATGCCCAGCTTGATGGTTGGTTGTGCTGGTTAGGTGTGGTGGAGGCATTGTCTGATGCATCTGGTGGGTGTGAGGTTGGGGAAGGCTGCTCTAGAGAGTCAGACTGCCAGATGGCTCTTGGGGGTATTGTTTAGCCTTAAAGGGGGGTCCTTCTGATGGGCTGTGCTTTGCATTGATTTCTGATGGCAGGGAAGGGGAGGCATTAGAAGCAATGAGACAGTCTTGTAGGGGTGGGAAAGAATCCATGGTAGGGATGGGTGATCATACAAAGCTATGGCAGAGATGTATTTGTATATGTACAGTGTAATTAGGAAGAGTTGACTTGGAGTGAATTCAGTAAGATGGGATAAACAGCATTCTGGGAGCTATTTCATAGTGGCTCTCTGGCTCTTAAGATGGAGGGGGGGATTAGGTCACATGCTGGACTGGTTGGAGAGGATTTAATGAGTGGGATATAGGGATAGGAGCCCTATAATGAGGGGAAAAAATATAAACAGGAGTTATGGTTGGTCACTTGGGGTAACCAGAACTAAAGTTGGAGTATTTATTGAAAAGAGAGCACTAGATTGTACTTGCAGCACTGATACAAAGGAAATATGTTTTGGGGGGGGCTGGCACTTCAGAGGGGGAAAGCAAAGTCAAAGATTTATTCTGTATTGATAAATTGTAAGGGCATCTGGTTAAGGATCCTTTGTGTTAACCTGGATTGTCTGTGATATGGCCTGTTGTGTAGATAGCATATACCTGGACTTACCCTTTGCTTTATCCTGTTCCTAAGGGCAGAGCCAGGGGAGACATGGCGTCAAAGAAAAAGTTTTTGTAGGCCTCTCCTTTTGTTTATATCTGTGCTCAAGGCTGTTGTTAGTGCAAAACGGAAACCAAGCTGCATTTATGACTCAACGTGAAAATTGCGTTTGTGTGTGAGAAGGAGACTGATTGAGACACCACAGGAAATGTCTTAGAATATTATTAGATGTTCAGTATCTCCGTAAAGTCAGATAGGTAGAATCTGAACTATGTGGATCCTTAAACCTCAGGAGAAGCTGTTAAAATGCCAGCCAGATGCTATGCATGTCTACACAAAACCAAGCCTTCTTTATTTGGTGTATAAATAAGTACAAGCACTGGGAAGTCTCTGTGTTCTTTTGCCGCCCCCTACAGTTACTCTGAAGTTACTGACACTATGTGTACGTGACAAAGCTCTTCTACGCTCCACTTCTCCCCCCTCCCTCAACATCCTCTTTGTCAACTATGCTGTGAAAGGAAAGGGAAATAAAGCATTTCCTAGTCCTTTAAACAAGAGGGAGCATTCAGTTTTATGTCTTAATCTTTTGCTTCTTTTCCCATTGGATGGTTTTACTACTCAGAAAAAGTAGTTGGACAGATGGGATCATTGGAGAAATGATTAATTCAGGATGTTCAAGGAGTGCCCATGTCTTTTACTGTCAAGCTCCCTTGGGGCAAGAATTCTAGTGACTTTGAAATCATCAGCATTTAGCACTGCAGTTCTGTGATTCTGTACTCCAAAGTAAGTCTTGTTGAAGCAGAAGGGAATTATTCCTACCAACGTGGAGGTACGATTGATTGATTTTTCACATTTGTAACACCTCCTGACTTCATAATGACTCTGGAAGGCACTGGACAAAATAGATGCTGTTGTAACCCAATTCAGCAACACCAGTAATGTCTGTGTATCTGATTCCCCCCCAAAAAACTTGCTTTCTTTTTTCTAGATGAAGGACAGTGAAGCTGAAGAACAGATGAGCAGCTGGCTCTTCAAACAGCTTAAACTCCATTTGGACCAGGAATGGAAATACCAACCTCGGGAAAAGGGGCTGAGTTTGATTGAGTGCACTACTGAGGTGAGGAGATAGAAGTTTGCCATTTGGGTGTGATGTGAAACCTCAGCTGGGATGACCTGCTTGTGGAGGAAGTGGCCAAAAGTAAGGGGAGGGCCTTAATGTAGTCAGAGCAAGAAGCTATCAATATTAATGTTAATAATTAGTTTACAGCAGTCTAATAGTTTTGTATAAAATAGACCTGTTCAAATGTGCCTTATTCAACCTAGTATAAATGCTGAGTATTGGCTTCCCGCCTTCTACAATAGATATTTAAACAGATTGTTACAATTGATTTTTTAAAGCTATCGGAGCATTGCTTCCCAAATGATTTTACTGAGGAACTGACATGATCAGGCTGTACGTAGCTTAAATTACACATTTGTCAGGTGTCCCTTTGCTTCATCCAGAGATAGTTGGGGCAACTATTCTTTCTCTGTAAGAATGGTGCCTGCCAAATAAAAAATGGACATTACTCTTCATGAGACTAGCCACGTTATTGAATGGAGCCTCCCTTGTTTCTGAAAGAAACAATGCTAGATTCTTCCCAGGAAATCTACTTTGAAAAGGTAGGTTACAGATTATTGAAATGGAATTGGTTGTGACCCGTAGCCGGCTTAGTAATTGGCCATCACTATTTAATCAAAATATATAGCTCATCTGATCAGAACTTGTGATGCAAAGCTCTGCAACTAGTATTAAGATGTTGCTTGTCTTGTTACAGAATGAAAACACCTTATGTCCAAGACTGAGGAATGCAAAAGTGGAGGATCTCTGGAGTTTGATCAACTTCTTTGGATTTGCCACAGAAACCTTTGTCCTGGCTGTTAACATTCTTGACAGGTTTTTGGCACTCATGAAGGTATTTGGACAGGAAAAGAAATGCTGTATCAGTTTGCACAGTTTTATATTAAATAGACAGAACAAGTCTGATACTTGTTCTGGACTTTAAGGCAATATAGTTCATCTCTTAGCATTTAGAATAATATATAACTATTCACAACACTGATATTAAAAGTGTGTGACATTTAAAAAGTATTTTCATATTTTCTTTGTTTTCTCTAGTTTTCTCTCTTTGTCTCCTATGTGCTGCTTTTTAATGACATCAATTATATCTTTATGCACTGGTCTCCAATGAGGCCTCATGAGCATTTGCTGAAATTCTAGGAAATATTCATTATTGGTGGAATGTTCAGTGGATGTAGGATTATCGCAAGTTTTCTCATTTTAAAGTTTTATTCTTTTTGTCACTGTAAGAACTGAAATTGCAACAGTCTGCAGACTATGAAATAAATTTACTTGCAACATCTTTAAAATGTGCCTCATTCATTTTCTAGTCAGTACTGTTAAGTAGTTTGCCAGTGACCGCACCAGGTATCCATAATGCTATTTTCCTTTTACTTAGGTGAAACCTAAGCATTTATCCTGCATTGGAGTCTGTTGTTTTCAGCTGGCTGCTCAAGAGGTTGAGGAGGAATGCAACATCCCGTCTCTCCATGATGTAATCCGGATTAGCCAATGCAAATGCACTGTTTCTGACCTAAAGCGGATGGAAAAAATAATATCAGAAAAACTGCACTTTGACTTCAAAGCAACTACTGCCTTAACTTTTTTGCACTTATACCATACTATTGTACTCTGCCATACCTCAGAAAGGTACCATTGGCTCAGTTTAATTCCTTCATTTCCAGTAAAAAAGATTGAAGCATACAGTGTCCCTGTTAACCCTTTGATTTCTCCCTTTCCAATCTTTGATGGGCTTCCTTGTTACATGCAGTAGTTCAGATATTTAATAGCTGACAAGTTTCTGTATGGTTCATGCACATTTAGATAAATTGATATGGGTGTATCTAGGCAGCTTGCCATACTGTATGTGGAAAACAAATTGGTGCACTCTGCATTTCCATGGTTTAGATTTACACATTGTACTAAGCCATAATATGATTTGGTAGATTCTGATTTAATGTGTTATACAAACTCAGTCACGCCACAGTATGTGAATCCAGCCAGTAACATTTTGCTATCCTGACCATTTACAGGAAAGAGTTGTTGAATCTCGACAAACTGGAAGCACAACTTAAAGCTTGTAACTGCCGACTTGTTTTTTCAAAAGCAAAAGTAAGTTTGAAATATAAACTTCACAAAATGAAAGTTGGGATCAGCTACTAAGTTTCTGATCTGAAAGTTTATTTTCCTCCTTTCAGCCATCCATTTTGGCCCTGTGCCTTCTCTCTCTGGAAGTGCAGACTCTGAAATCCATTGAGTTGTTTGAGATTCTTCTATTTGTTCAGAAGCACTCCAAGGTAAGAGATTAACATGAATTAGCTTAGTCCAGCCATCCTGTGTACACCTTTTGGGAAAAAAGTAATAGAGTTGATTCAAAAAGAATGTTTTGTTTTGTTTGTTAAACTGTATAGAATGAAATGCCCCTCCCATTTTGAAGGTAAATCATTTGAGAAGAAATTGCATCTTCCTGCAGTATATAAATGGAAGCCAGGACGTGACTTTTCCCCATTCACCTTGGGAAACTGAATGTTCTGTTATGCTAAAAGCTGCATCATGTCACATAGATGTTATCTCTTCAACACATCATTCAGGCTGCATTTCCACTCAGTCTCATATGTATGTGGGCTCTGTCAAAGTCAGTTTATTTTCCTGAGGCAAATGTGGTTTGAGTTATGTGTACCAGTTGATTTGCCTGCAGGCTGATCTATATAGATTGATTTGGAAAGTTGTCCTATGTGTACATCTGGGTTTACAATCAAGTTAATGTGAATAGAATTGAAGCTATATTAGATTTGTGAGAGAACTTTTTTTTAAAAGTTGCACGTGTGAACATTTTTTTAGATAAGTGACGGTGACTTACTGTATTGGAGAGAGCTGGTCTCAAAATGCTTAGCAGATTATGCTTCTCCTGCCTGCTGCAAGCCAGACCATAAAAAACTAGTTTGGATTGTTTCAAGACGCACTGCTCAGAATCTTCAAAACAGTTACTATAGCGTTCCTGAGTTGCCCACAATCCCCGAGGCTGGATGCTTTGATGAAAGTGAGAGGTAGGTAAACTGTACTGGGTTTTCTCTAGGTTTTGGCCATCTGTATGTAGCCAGTTCAAGTAACTAATTGTAACTTTTTTTCCATGGTGTAAATAAGTTAAGGACTGATTGATGACCCATCAACTAGCATTTCCTTTGGTAGCATTTAGAAAAATAAAACTACATGTATATAAGAGTGAAGGATATACTTGCAACCTGTCCATTGTGGTGGGTATATATGTGCCTTTGTGGCGTTGAGGGGGAGACCGTGACTTAGTATTAAAACTCACAATGCTGCATTTAGAAGATCTTCCTTTTGAAAAATAAGTCAAAGGATGGGCATCCTTAATAACTGCTGCTGGTCAGAATAAATCAGCCTTCCTCCATCGGATGCCTCCTAGATGAGTTGGATTACATCTCCCTTGCTGGAGAAGATGGTGTGTATATTTAGAGAGTGCCTAGTAGGGGAAACTAGAATAAACTATATTTCTATTATTTTGAGAAGCTTCTTGTTCCCTTTGGAATAGAATAGTTCTTTCATCCTACATTTTTAACAAACTTCTCAGATCGTTTAATGCTGCATGTGTATTTTGGCTTAAGTCTTATCTTACGCATTTGCACTGAGATGTAGCTAATCCATGAGTTGATTTTTCTAAGACTATGACAATTAGCTCTCCCATGTGTCATTGGTTAGCATATTGTCTTCAACCCCCCCCCGCTTTAAAATGCAAGGGTGTGCAGGTTGGCAGAGGGGGGGCTGATTTCTCTTTAGTTAGCCAGTACTATCATCTTCATGGGATTCCTTTTTGTCAATGGTAATAAGATGAGTAGTTAACTACACGGTTGAGCTAATGAAATGAGAGATCACAGTGGAATAAGGTAATTACCAGCACTGCTGAATTTGCACTTACCTTTCTTAAAGCAGTAGAATTTTTAAGCTGCCCAGAGTCTAATGGCGTGGGCGGCCATAATAAATTTAATACATTTAAATTACATTACCTGGTATTTCAAAGTATCGTATTTCAAATCTTATATAAAGTCTCCCTTGTATTGTGTTCGTGACTGCATGAAGATGCCTGTGTTGTTTTCTAGGCATCAGCATGGAAGTTGTTTGCCATTCTCTTCCATGATATTGCTCTTGCTTATCTGCCTGCCTATCCAGTTTCAAAAGTTGGTGTAATGCTGGTACATTTTAAAGTGCACATAATTTTTGATACAAGCTGTTGCCTGGATGCTTATCTCCTATATAAACAATGAACCACCATTCCTTGTAAAACAGCGATTCACTACTTTGCCTGTCATACAATGGGTTTTATCAGAGGCTTTTTCAGACAGAGTTATAGATGAGTTCTTACCATGCCGTCTTTCTGCGGAGATTCTGTCTAGATAATTCCATTGCTTAGCAATAACTAATTTGGCAGCTGGAAATAGAAACCTAGTAAGTTTTTTACTTTGCAATTTCAGATGTTGGCTATCAAATATATGTAGCAAGCCTAACTCTGGAGACTTTTAATCATATTTTCACCAGAGGTGAAAGAATATTCCTTTTGTTTACAGCCTTGCCAGCATCTCATTGAATATGCAGGAGATCTACGTGAGATTCTTATGGAGGGTTGATGCGATCAATGTAAACAGTCTCTAAGTATTTAATAACATAAGCGACTGATTATCAGAGTTGTTTTGACATTTGCACCTAAGATTCTGAAGCTTGCGCAGCCAGTTCCTCACAGGTTCAGAGGGAATATATTCTTAATGTATATGGCTAGGTGCAGACTTTGCTAGGAAATTGAGTGTATTTGATAAAAATATGCTGGTAAGAAAGGTTTGGTAACTTGGGTGATTCAGTATTTGTATCATGTGATAAGTATCATATTTGGTTGTTCTTTTTTTCCTTTGTTCATGATTGATAATTAGCTTCGTGTTGCTTTTTATTTCCTAGTGAGGACTCTTGTGAAGACATGAGCTGCGGAGAAGAAAGTTTCAGCAGTTCCCCCCCAAGCGACGCAGAAGGCACCTTCTTTTTTGACCTCAAACCAAAATCCAAGTGGCAGGCTCTCTCCTTTGATTCTGTGTGCTAGTCTGAGCTCTTAATGCATCGTAGTATTTTTAGGCAATAAGTATCTAAACCAGCCCTCTCCAACTAGGGTGGCTTCCAAGTGCAGGCTTCCACTCCCAGAATCGCCAGCCGCCATTGTCCTTGCTGAGCATTCTGGGAGTTGGAATCCACACATCTGGAACGGGCTACAGTTGGGAAAAGCTGATCTTAGCATTCCTTGTACTTTGGTGCAAGATCTCATGGAGTACTCAAATTACATGTGCTTTTTACCTTTGTATGATGGTAAGTCTGATGTGGCATGATGGATCAAATTAACCATTTCAAACCTTGTTCAGTGAGAAACGTTCATAGGAGCACATATTTGCCACCAGATTACAGGATAGCTTGAAAGCTTGCCATGTGCTTGAATGCTCTGCTGAAATTAGGTTGAACCTTAGCGGTGACGCATTTGGGGGATAGATGAAATTGCAGAAACGTATCTGAATTTCTTTTTTGAACTATTTTAAATATTTTTTTATGTGTTCTTTTAAATAAAGTAGTCCGGGAGAAGTCCTTCAGTTTCAGGAGACTTGTTTTAGTCAAGAATACAGTATTTGGGTAGAAGTAAACAAGCTGCCTTTTTAAATGCAGAACCAATCCACATCAAGGTCCTAAAGCGTATTTTAGCGTTAAGATTTCTAAAGATGAGCTTTCAGATCCTCAAATTAGGAATGAAATGTTTTTAGAAAACCTTAGTGTTATCGTAAAAAAAGAAGCGTACTACTAAAATTAGAAGCATTGGATTTCATTGTAAAGGCCACAGTCCCTCCCGCAGCTTATTTCAGTATTTCTTTTAAGTCGTTATAAGTAAATCTATAATCATTAAACTTTGCATGCTTAAGTGAAAACGGTTAGTGGAAAGGCAATTGATTATGGAGAAGTTTTGCTAAATGTGAAGTTGATAAAACGGTTGTAACGGCATTTAATTGCTTACCTTTTTTTCCCTTAAAGCACAGACTTTATGGTTGCTTTACTTAGTTCCTTCAAATGTATGCAAAGTAAGCAAAAGAAGTCATTTAGTCTGTAGTAATAATGTGAAAGCAACGCTGTGGTTGAAATGAAGGGGCAATAAAGTTAGGATTCTTGCATCGTGTGGCTTTCCTGTGTAGGCAGAAGTGAATGGTGATAATGTGTGGCGTGATCTGATTTTTATAAAGAAAAACGTTTACAAAAATGTGTAAAAATGTAAATTAAAACCTGTAAAAAAAAAAACTTAAAAAACAAAATAAGCTGAAAAATATTGTATTTTTACAGTGTATGTTACTTTCTATATGTTGCATGTAGATATTAATTTATTATACCTTGTATATGATATAAATAGTGTATATGGAAGGCGGGGGGTTGGTACTACAAGACAGTGTGTCAGAATGTTTTTTGAAAGCTATTTTTGCTCAGAAATAACTCAAGATTATCTCTCTGCTTCAGTTCAATAAAACCAAATGCTTTTTCCTATTTGAGTCTGAGGTGATTTTGGAATGAGTCTGGTGATTTTGGTATAAAAGTACAGCTGGGGCAAAATTAGAAACCAGAAAGCTTTTTTAAAGAAGCGGTAACTTCTAACTAATGGGAACATAATCATAATTAGGATGCCATTTTCTGAAGTGTAGATAAATTAAAATTGCAAGAAAAATGTATCCGTGTCATTCTAGGATTCTGGAGAGGTTTTCTACACGGTCCTTGATATCTTCCTGTGCAACATATAATAAGGCTAGATGCGTTTAAAAAATAACCTGATGAAAAATAGTTGTCATGAGACTGCCTTCTTTGTTTCTTCGTTTATCTAATTTGTATAGCCATCCATCTCAGAAAGCCAGTGACTCTGGGCAGCGTACAACAGAACTAAAACAATAAATGCCTAAAACCATTATTATTAAAAAGCATTATCCTGTTGTCACGATGCTGGTATCTTGGCCTAAACTGTTGGGGTTGCTACCCTATATCACTAACAATTCATACACAAATTAAGATCAAGCATGTGTACATCCAGATTCAAGCTTTGAACATACAGCATTCACCCACACTTAATTATTTTACAGCATTCCTATATAATCCCAGTCTGTAGACTCTGGGGGACTGGGTGGTGTGCAAAATAATTGAATACTCCATTCCTTGCTTTTGTATCTGGACAGCCTCTTTTATACTAGAAGAGCATTATTTTCCCCAAACCACTATCTGCGAGGACTCTGCTATTTTACAGCCAGATGTTCTACCTGGTTAGATGGTCCCAATCTTCTGGATTATGTTTTTGAGAAAATTCTTGTAGGAAGGACGGACCTGCAGATTACCTATCCAAATTGCAACTTCCATATGAAGATGTGTTTATTTTTCTGAATTTTCAACTTTACTATTGAGAGTGCATTTTGCTACTTTTTTTTTTTTTTTGGTAGAATCCAAGAGACTTTTTTTTTCAAAAATCCATGGATTACTTGACCCTTCTGATATCTTGACAGGGACTTGACTCAGCTGAAATTGAGTTTTTCCGGCATTAAAAACTGCAAGCCACATTTGGAAGATTTTGGGATGGAAGTTTTAAGTTTGATACTTGTCCACATGAAAAATTGATAAAGAAAATGCTGTCTCTCTTTGTTGTTAGAAAATGCTGTTACATATTTTGGAGAAAATGGAATATTCCTGTAGACAATTTTATTATTTAGGCCTTCAAAAGATCTGATGCATTGCAAGAAGAACTCGGAGAGCATCTAGGAGCTGAAAGGCAATATATTCAATTAAAACTTTTTAAAATTTATCTGGACTTGACCCATTAGCAGTTTGCTAAATTTAAAAATTATTTGATTTCTTCTTCTGGAAAGTGTTTGGAAAGAGTTTATTTCTAGAGACAGCTGGAGAATATTACCAAGATAATGATAATCTGGAGAAACGGAATATTCTATTTTAACGTATCAATGTCCTGTTTTAAACTATTAAATATTTCTTATGACTTTTTGGTGATGGATGAAAATACTCTTTTTCATGTTGATTGCACATCTCAGTGGATGTTTAGGAAGGGCTGGGTGTCATGTTTTTTTTTGCTGAAGATGTAATACACTTAAGAGAACTGACACAATTTGTATTACATTAATACAGTATTGGTAACATGATTTGGGAAGAGAAATAAGATTTAAAGATCTTAATGTAATGTTGAATTATTGATTTATGAAGAAATTTGGACTCAATCTGGTTTATAAGGAAGCTATAAAGATAATTTTGCATGGCAGGAAAGGAATGACCACTTAATTGAGGAAGTGTGTTCACTCTCAAATTTTGAGTTGGCTCTTTCTCAGTGTAATGGATGGACTGATCAATAGGATTCCATGTGAGCAAGGTTTAATTTATCATTTAAAAACTTAGTCATGTTTACATATATACTTTATGGATGTGTTTTGTTTTTTAGGTTCATTTTTCCTTGTTTCTGGTTTTTAAAGTATTGTGTTTTGTACATTTACCTTAGGGTATTATGTGAACCCAACAATTCCAGGCTGAAAAAAAAGAAGTTAAAATTAATTCAGGGTTGGAAACCTGTGCCAACCCCCAGCAGGCCCAGCCAACAAAGCCAATGGTGCAGGATGATTGTAGTTCAATAAGATCTAGAGGGTCACAGGTTATGGACTGGTGCTTCAAAGTTGTTCCTTAGGTGATGATGGAGAAAACTCAGCCCTCCTTACCCTAACCTACTGCCCTACAAATATGTTGAGCTAATTCCAAGCTCTCCATCTTTCGACCATGCTGGTCCAAACACATTTGGAGTGCACCAGATGGGGAAAGGTTGACCCAAACCTCCTTAGCTGAAAATCAGATACATTGAAGGCCCCTAGAGGGTGCTGTCTTGCTTAAGAAGACAGGACAAGTAGCTATGTCCAGAATTATGTTCCTTAAACAACATGTATAGTCTCAGCAACTATTGGTTTTCCAGTGGTGTGTTGAAAGTAGACCTACATCTATCACCTGCCTTTTGTTCAATATTTACTGGCATTATTCTGAAGATGCCATCGTGGTCCGTTACCCTAGAAGAGAGCTAATGTATATCTTTCCAATGTAAGGCTTATATAGGTAACCCTAGGCGATGGCTGTATAGCATGTTCATTTGTTGTATTATTTACAATAATACATTAAGCACAGTGTCTGCTCAATGGACTATGGCAGTGTTTCTCAACCTTGGCCACTTTAAGATGTGTGGACTTCAACTCCCAGAATTCCCCAGCCAGTACAGAAGTCCACACATCTTAAAGTGGCCAAGGTTGAGAAAAACTGGACTATGGAATAAAGAATGGTGTATGCCATTTACTTGTGTCAGTTTCAACTTATTTCACAGCAAATTGGGGTGCTTTGGTGAAAAGTGGAGGAGTGCCAATACATTTGACCACATCTGTAAGCATTCTTAGCGTCTACTAGCCAGCTGTGAAGTCAGGTGTCGGTGTACAATAATATTACCTGAACGTTATCTACAATTTTGAAAACCAAGCTTCATGGAAGTTGCATTTTGCATTCCGATAGATATCGATTAGCATCGCTCTTGGCAGAGTTGATTTTCTTTTTAGTTTTAGCTTTAGATTCCGCCCCCCCCCCCCACACACATGGTTTTTAATAGAAGCTCAAATATTAAACAAATCTACAGGGATAACAAATTTAGACTGAGAGTCACTTTGATGTAATAGCTAGGTGTAGAGAGTAAAAGGGAGGGCTTCAGGGAGATGAAACAAGAGAAGAGCATCACTGGCACTCATCTAAGGATGAACTTGACCAAACACAGGTTAAGGCTGCTATTAAGGCCTACTTGTGGCGGTAAGGGTGGCGAAGTGACAGTATTCCTCCACTCTTATTGCATCTGCAGATTGCCACCCTGCAGCCCTGTTTCGGGTGATTTGAGCCCTCTTGGGTAAAGGGGGCCCAGAGGACCTTTTGCAGGGTTGTGTGGAGGAATTTGCTTAGCATCTGTCAGACAAAATCGCTTGGATTCATTCGCACATGGACACTGGGTTTGCTACAAGTCCAGGGGAGATGCCTGGGGTGCAGCCTTGCCTGGTTATCTGGGAACGATTTGAACCTGTTGGACCCAAGGAAGTGGACAGGGTTCTTAGGACTGTGACTTGGCCACCTGCTCCTGGATCCTGCCCCTCCTGGCTTGTAAAAGCAGCCCAGGGGGTTTTGTGTGGGTGGATTCTAGCAGTAGTGAATTCTTTGGGTGAGGGGGTTGTTCCTTTACTTCTTAAAGAGGCTTTGGTCCACCCTCTCCTCAAGAAGCCAACTCTGGACCCCATAATACTGGACAATTTTCGTCCAGTATCCGAAGGTGATTGAGAGGGTGGTTGCGCAGCAGCTTCAGAAGACCTTGGATGAAGCAGATTATCTGGATTCTTTTCAGTCAAGGTTCAGACCTGGGTATGGTGTGGAAACTGCATTGGTCATGCTTTTGGATGATCTCTGACGTGGCAGAATGGGGTTGTTAATCCATCCTTGCCTTACTTGACCTCTTGGGGCCTTTGATACCATTGACCATGGTATCCTTCTGGACTGACTCAGAGGATTGGGGGTGGGTGGCACGGTGTTGTGCTGGTTCACATCCTTTCTACAGGGTCAATTCCAGTCAGTGGTGATTGGGAAGGAGGGATCCCACCCTCGGCCCCTACTATGTGGGGTGCTGCAAGGATCAGTGCTCTCTCCTCTCCTATTTAACATCTACATGATACACCTGGATGAACTCATCTGTTGCCATGGGGTTAGGTATCATCTGTATACTGAGGATACTCAGTTGTACATCTCTGCCCCTGGTGACTTAAGCAATGCTGTGGATGTCCTACCCTGATGTCTGGAGGCTGTGAGGGTCTGGATGGGGAACAACAGGCTTCAAATGAACCCTGGCAAAAGTGAGGTTCACTTGAAGCCCCTCTGGTTCTATGACTTTACCAACATTGGTATTGGATGGGGTTGTACTGCCCCGACCCTGTGTGCAGTCTGGGGGTCCTCCTGGACTCACAACTCCTGCTCAATGAGCAAGTGGCAGTCATGGCTAGGAGGGCCTTTGCACAACTTCATATTGTGTGCCAGTTGCGCTCATTCCTGGATCAGGGGGACCTTCTCATGGTCACTCATGCCTTTGTCATCTCCCAGTTAGACTACTGCAATGCACCCTACGAAGGGCTGTCCTTGGAGAGTATCCAGAAACTTCAGCTGGTGCAAAATGCAGCAGAATGAACAGTTATATGTGCTTCTGGCAGAACACATGTCACACCTCTGCTTCACGAACAGCACTGGTTACCAGTTTGTTTCCAGGTCCAATTCAAGGTGCTGGTGTTAACCTTTAAAGCCCTTCATGGCATGAGTCTGGGTTACTTGAGGGACCACCTCTCCAAAATTTCATCTGCCCATCCTACCAGATCCAGAAGAGAGGGCATGTTACAAGTTCTGACACCTAGGGAGCTACATCTGGGGGGCTCTAGGTGGTGGGACTTTTCT